AGATAGATAGATAGATAGATAGATAGATAGATAGATAGATAGATAGACAGATAGATAGATAGATAGATAGATAGATAGATAGATAGTAGTCGTCGTGGTGGTGGTGGCGGTGGTAGTGGTAGTCGTCGTAGTAGTAGTAGTCGTCGTCGTCGTAGTAGTAGTAGTCGTCGTAGTCGTAGTAGTAGCATGGTAGTGGTAGTGGTAGTAGGTGGTAGTGGTCGTTGTCGTTGCCTTTTTTCCTGTGCCGAACTTCCCAGCAGTCTTTTTGCTTTCGTTTCGTGTCAAACTCCCATCTGCCAGGGAGCGCTGCTTGGCCCTGTGAGCGCGCGATGAAGGTCCCCCAGCTTTCCCGCTCAGCGCTGTCCGGGCACCCGGTAGACCGCCACGGAAACAGCCACTGGGCGGGACGAAGTGTGGGAAGCGCGGCGCATGATGTGGGCGTTGGTGCGATGTGCCACAGAGATCGACAGAGTGTTCTTGGACCAGATGAGCCATGAGTTTTTCATGAGAGTTTGGCCGTTTGTCAGTGACGCAGACTTCAGTGGTTTGTGGGACGACCATGAGGATGTATTTTCATTGCGGACTTTGGCCTTGCAGGATGAACGAGTCCAATACCACCAGTTTTGGGGTTTGAGATTCTCTCATTTGTGTATGACTGTTGTTTAAGCAGGTACTGGGTTGGTTGTTTTCGAATGTTGTTGATTTTTGGACTTGTTTTCCCACACGGTTGCAAACTACCCGACCCCCAAAACAGATGGACGTGACACGGGAACCCCAAACCAAAGATGATCACAATTCACAATGATCCCATGGTGTCTTCCCCACGGTGTCCGAGGCCCCGGCGATGTGCGCAGAAGGAGCTGTACCCAGAGACCGAGGTGGGGTGTGAGATGGGATCAAGCGAATCCTGCGCAGGTTTTGGAGAGGCTTCACGTTTGCAGAGGCAATTCTTTTGTGTTGCCCCTTGTTGGATTGTACCACCCACCCCTATTCAGGATTCAAGTGTAGAAGAATCGCCTTCATCGATCTCAACGAAGATCCAGTCAAGAATCGATGTGTCAGACAGGTGCAATCATGTGGATTTCTATTTGTGTCAGACTCCAAAGAGAACGCAATATGAACACAATGGGCCAAACGGGTTCTGGTTCGGTAAACCAAACCTACCCACCAGGGCACGACCAGGGCCACGACCAGGGCCGCAAGGACCACGACCCTCCAGGCGCGCTGCCTGAAAGCGGGACATCCCAAGCGCGGCAAGCTGTTCGCCGGAGCGGTGTCGCCCATGACGCCCGGCCGGGGGCAGCTGATCAACGGGCGCGGGCGGTGCTTTCTAGAGGCCGGGCGCGGGCGGGAGAGGCGGAGAGGGGAAGGCGGAATGTCCTGTCCACTTGATGGGAGAAAGCTTGGTTTGTCAGTTTGTCCCGAGAAATCAATTACTAAATTCACAGTTCAATATTATGCGGATCATTTGCAGAAAGTACTTTCAGACGGCTTTTCTTCAAATTGTGTTATGGCGAAACCTCACCATGATCGCAGGCTTTCTACTTTTGCCCTTCCTTGCAGACAAAAAGAACAGCACTCCACATGCAAGCTCCTTGCAGACCTAAGCCCCATGACAAGCTCATGGACACTGCTTCAGGTGAAGGATGAGATGTGGGGGCTTGAGCTTTTCTCACCAACCCCCGGAGGGTCGGTTCGCCTCTTTCACCACGACGAATCGCACGCTTTCGGGGATGGGGTGACCAGGTCTCTTTGCAAGCAAAAGGGCCGACCCTCTCTCCCCCCCCCAAAAAAGCCATCCATCATTGGTTACCTCACATCTTTGATGACAGAACTCGTCACCTTAGACCAGTGATCTCGAGTGATCTCCCGTGACCCGAGTTTTCTCGGATCTGCGTGCCGAGCTCGGACGACGACCAGGCGGGCTTCTGCGAATGCTTCCCACCGTGGCGGGATGCCTTGTGCGATCGGCAAGAGATGGGTGATTCTGGACAAGGCCGGCGAAGCACCGCAAAAACCGTGTGAAGCACCGCAGCAGGAAAGGTGCTTTCTAACCAGGGGCCCCTTTGAATTGTTTTCATAAGGAGCTCATGCCCCTGGCTTTTGATCCCTGAAGCTGAAGGGCTTTGAGGGGCAACCATGGCCATGCAGATAGTTTATGAAAGGCCTTTCCAAATTGTGCAGATGATGCGACCTCTGTTTTTGTCATCCCCACATAGTCAATCTGTGGCCCTCATTCCTTGCACAACCTCCCGTGCGTCTCAACGGCCGTTTCAATGTGAGTTGGAACGAATTCCGCATGGACGCTTCCGCGTCTCAGGTGGCGCCATCATCGCGACAGGCGTTCGACCTGGTGAAGAGGAGGACTTGGTTGGAAGCCTTTGGAACTGGTGGGTTCCTTGGATTCGTTCAACCCGATGGATCGAGTCCTAAGGGGCAAGAGATCGGGTCCTTGGATCTCTTGGTTGGTCGGTTTGTCCTTCTTCTCGGGGCAAGACGATTACTGTACAAGTGCCAGGGATAGGTCAGGGCTTGATGGGATTGACATTACTAATCATAACCTGATCGCCTTCCATAAATCATAATTATTTATGTTACGTCTCCTTCGTTTATATGTATATATATATATCAATCATATCCTGTTCATACTCCGGTTTATTATCCTTTGATATCCTTTGCTAATTTTTGTTTATGCAATTTATATACTCGTTTGTTTGTTTTACTCTCTTCTTAAAACAAAAGTAACAAGTTATATATTCCATTATATTATTAGATTGTTTCTAATCCACCATATTATCTTTTATGTATATAGTTTTTTTTTTTTTTTTTTACAATTTACATTTTATGATTTTATGCGCATTTATTTATCGTATATATACAATATCATAACCACCAAATAAGTTTGTTGTTGAGGGTGTATTACCTTTGTTATTTTCACCAAATTATATTGATATTAATGGTGATATACCATTATTTATTCTACCAACAATAACAATAAACCAAGAAACAACGGACATTAACCAAGAAGGTTTAAACATGAACCATATTTACTAAAAAGACTAATTGAATGCAACGTTCTCATTCATCATTTTACCATTGTGTTTGTGTTTGATGATGATTGTTTATATTTTTTGTGTTTGTGTTTGTATTTTTATTTTTATGACTATTTTGTGTTGTTTCTTTAATCTATTCGTATATTATTAACATTATCATTATATATATATTTAAATAATGAATATGCATCAATGGTAACAATTGTGGAATGTTTAATTGGTAAAACATATTTTTCTTTTATCATACATTGAAGTGTATGGATGTCTGCTCATATCCTGGTTCGGTCCCTGTCGGAGGAAATGACACAACACAACAATATTGTGGTAGTTCATGTAAAGAATTATAGGTGGATTTAATGAAATTGAAGGTCCATTAGACTATGTTTATGTTTTAAATATGTTTATTGAACAAGAACTCCTTCGCACATTATTATTGTTAATTGGGTATCAACAATGTAATATCAATATTGAATTAAGGAGTCCGCGCTTGGGGGTTGTCTCAAGATCAAACTGGCGGGCCTTGCAGAAAAGCAGCAAACACCCCGGCCCCCTCCAACATGAACTGGATTTCCGGCCACCACTGGAACAACGGAAATCAAAGGAACCTAACATACACCTAGCCTTCCGGGGGAGTGCATTTGGAAGGTCTATCTTGATCCGTTCCGTGCACAGTGCACATGAGTCCCATGCAGTAGATGAGTTGAGCTTGAGACGGGTCCCCAGTATCGGCCACAAGCTGCAGCGTTGGCTGCTCGTCACCCTTGGATCCCTGATGAGTACTGGGGAAGATGCTGCCAAGACTAACTTGCACAGGTTTCATCTGTCATGGAGGTCTGGAAGCTTCGATACATGCATGGGTCAAGAAAGCCAAATAGCTTCAGGACGGTCATCCCACAGAAACATACGTATCGGTTTTGCTGCGCCGAGAGCCGAGACCCCAACACAGTGAACATATGAAGTGCTTCAAACGTCACCTCAAAGATTCCCTCGAGACCACGATCCAAGATGATCCAAGCATATCCGACATTATCCCAAAAATTAAAAGATACATGGACTGCCAGACCTTTGGTCCTGCTTGCGTTCGATCAAGATCGCCTGAGGAGAGCTTCAACAATCAGCTGGATCACCCCATCCTTGTCTTTCACGAAGGTCTCAGCCCAGAGGATGCCTTGCGCATTAAGGAGGCCTCCCCCTCACGCGCCGCTCGGGCCAGAAGGGTGGATGGCTTGTTTCGTTCGACGCATGGATCTGATCACCTCGTTTTCGCATCAGTTCCATGCGTCGAACAGCGGCATTTCTGGAATCCCTCTCAAGAGGTAGACTTTGGCCGAGGGATTTCCGCGTGCAACGTTTGATCTTTTGAATCGATTAATTAGACTGTGAGCCAGAAGACTTTGAGAATCGTTGAGACAACTTATATACAGTAAGTCAATCTTTAGTGTTCATTATTTTTCATTGACCAACGCCTGTTGTTTCATTGACCAACGCCTGTTGCGGATACTATATTTCAATATATTTCACGATTTCAGATGTTTTGCTGGGTAATCAGTGGAATCAGCGGTTGCCACTTAGTCACTTAGTCAAAACCTTGGCAGGACATGCGATGGTTGGTGGATACTGAAGTTGAAGAGGGTCAATTTGTTGAGAGTGGGGAGACTTGAGGTAAAAATGGAAACGAGAGAAGAACATCAAATCTGGAAATGACCCCTGGAAGTGGATTTTCCCTCTACATCAGCAGCGGTTTTGGGGTTAGAGTACATATACTGATAGCTCCAGAAACTGGACCGAGAGATCACACCTTGAAAGGGTTTCTCCTGCACAGATGCTCCAGACTCGAAGCAGTGCAAGTACGGACGCGGGCTGGGGCTGCAGGGGATGTTTCTTTGGGATCTGAGATTCAGGATCTACGGAACCAGAGGTTCAGAGGTTACAAGCTCTTTTTTTGGGGGGTAACCATTCCAGTCAGTGGACAGTAGGGCCCTCCATGTGCTTGCCACACCGTCAGTCATGTCCTCAAGCCACAGCGTCAGTCGGTTCTGAGACCCTGAACGCCACAGGAGTCAACACGTTTGAGATCCCAAGTTGAGCAGTTGAAAGACGATCATGACTGATCAAGTCTGTTGAAGGTTTCGAGATGTCTCGAGTCAATGGTGATTGGGTCTTGAACGTGAAGACATAATTGGCAGAAAACACTTGTTTCATGTCGGTGTGGTTTGTTAGACTTTACAATGTTGCCTTGATCTGTAATAGTTCACGACCAAGACGGCCTGTCGTGGATCATGTGGATCGAGTCCTTCAAGCACAGCTGCTAATCACCTACCTTGACCTGGCTCCCACATGTCCACCCCAACACCGGACCCGGCGCAGCATGCGTGCTGCGCCGCAGTCACAGGAGGTCGAACGACTTCCCAAGGTGTGGTTCGCCCACCTGGGGCCTTTGATGTCAAAGCCGCGACAGTTCCATGCCCAAGAGATCAGGGAGGAGGCCCTGGCATGCAGGCGACGCATGGCGACGCAATGTTTTTTTTGTCACCTAATGATATCAATATCGTTTACTATCGTAGTGCTTGTGCATGTTTGTTCCACTGAATGATCTCGTGGCTTTCTTTGGGGGTCATCGTGAATGATCCAATTCTGTGGCCTGGACCTCTGAGGGCTCCCACGACGCTTGGAACGACCGACCCGACCGCTTCGCCGCTTCGCAGATTCAAGTTCGCTTGGCTCTTAGAGGAGCCGGCCATCCAAGACTTTGCCGCTGGGCGAGGGATGGTCATGCCGTGGGATCGCTGGGGGTTTGTGGTGCAATGTGGGTTGGGGGTTTGGTTTTGGAATGTGAATTCGGGGATGTATGTTTCTGGTTGCTTAGGAGGCGTCGCCATTTTGGGCCGTGGAAGCACCACAGGTTAACATCCGCAAGAGCAATGATGAATCCGGACCCGACGGCAGACCCACATCGCCCAGCACTCACCGGGCCCCCTGTCACAAAAAACACACCATTCCTGTTTCGCTCACCTCCCAGACTTGGAAAACGGATAAAGCAATAGTAAAGCAGACTGACCACAAATCGGTGGTTGGAGTCCGGTTGGCGGGCTATTTGAGACAGATATATATTAGGATGAAGCTCTACCATGAAAAACGTATGATCGCATAAAAATTGGTATTCCTAAAAAAGCCTTCGTTGCAACATCGATGAAGAATCGTTGAGCAATCGTTGGGACTATCGTTGGGAAACGTGTGGCAACAGGTGTGGCAAAACGGCTTTGCCACACCTTTTGCCACAATTTTAGACCGTTGAAGCTATCGTTGGAGAATCGTTGAGGAATCGTTGAGAATAATAGTGTGTTCAAAGCACATTGTGACATTTTGAGACGGTGCTGCTGCTGTTTCTTGAAGTGCATGATGTATGTTAGAAAATGTTAGAAAGCACCAAGAGCAGTAAACATATATGTATTTGGGAACGCCGAATAACGAGAATTAGGAAACAACACAAATTACTAGACAACCACAAGTTCTCAAATATTCGAGGATGAAGCACACTGATGGTGCATGCTGACATTTGTTTACCTCTGACAACCTTACCTTTTGTCTTATATGGTTCAGTCGTAGCCATGGACTTTCTCGAGATGTTTGACGATGTGGATCAACATGTAGCTGAACAAGAATGTCCACAAGACTCCCAAGTTGCTTCTTCGCTGAAGAGGGTGAATTCAGCGTTGGTGAGGGTCGACAGCAAAAGCAGGTTGGAGCTTGCGTGCACGGTTGGTTCATATCAGAAAAGAAAGAAACTGGGATTTTCAGGTAAGGAAGGTGGCATGGCTGGAAAAGCAATGTCTTGGTACCGGCATTTTTGCAAAGTGCACAAAAAGGTACGAACAACAGAGGCCTCCATCCTAGATGCTCTGGTCCAATTGCAGCAAAAGGTTCGAACTGGAAATGCAGCCACCTTTTTTACCCTGAAGAGATTGAAAAAGAGAAAGGATCTCAAGGCCAAGCATAGTTTGGTCTTGCAAGCCAAGATGAAGTGTGGAGCGGGCAACCGGTATGCACGACGATTTGGGATGACCGATTTTTTGGAAGTAGCTTTTGGCGAGAAAAGTGGGAAAGCCAGAGATCGCTTTCACTTGATTGGTGACATAGCCAAACACTTTCATGTCAGTCCCCCCACTGTACGTTTGATGAGAACAACTGTGGCGGCATCAGTGATGACTAAGCAAATGCACTTGCTATCTCGTCTACTAGCCCTTTGCAGACGGAGCTCTCCTGTTGTTGTGTCTACGCGGTACGCATGGGATGAGACTGCTCAAGACATTCAAGTCCAGTTGGAGGGCAACGATGCTTCTTCCAGGAGTGCTTGGAAGGTTGTGGTTCAGAAGCTCAAAGTCAAGCTCCAGTGGCGGGAACGCTCTATGGTTTTGAATTTGGTAGGGAACTTAGATGTGATATGATATTTAATATTTGATATATAATGATTGATATATATATATGACATATTCAGATGTAGTATGCAGTATGCATATATAGATAAAAACAATGCCCTGCATTCTTACAAGTTGTTACAACTGTTTTCTGTCCATTTTATTTGCAGACTTGGTGAGAGAAGTGCAAACAAGGACATCAAAGGACACACATTAAACTCATTAAGCCCAGAAGATTCGAATGGTGTTCAGTTCACAAGTGTTTGATTTAGGTCATGCCTCCCGTTCTTCTGATCTCAGATTCAGCCAGCAACCTGTACTATGGTATGTTCAACCATCCCTTTTTTGCTGGAACTCAGAGAATACTTCAAGCCATCCGTGAAACAGCAGCGAAGCACATGACTCTCTTCGAGCTTGACGGAGCTACGGGGAATGAGCGCTTGTTCAACTACTTTTTGTCGTCGCATGTGCCAGGGGAGTTGATTGATATGATCAAGTGCCGCAACCACCAATCGAACTTGATCGAGGGCAGCCTCGTCGTAGCATCGAGCCTGCCATCGCGAAATCTGCTGTCCATGTTTTATTCCTTGACGCACTTCCTTCGCAACAGTGGACAATGGTTGCGCCTGAAGCAAGCTTACGCACGCTTGATTTTTGATTCAGCTGTGGTTGGGCACAATGCATGCCGAGATGAGCAAGAGGCCTATTCTGCAGAGCATGCAAATGAGTTGCGGGACTTTTTGGAATCATCAGATCGAGTACTCAAGAGCATTAGCAGGAAGGGTGACCTAGACTCTCCGAGTGAGCAGTCGAACCCAAAACGAGGGGAGCTGAAGCGCAGATTGGACAATTTCTTTGCTACGTGACATGTTAAATTTCAGCTTTGATTCTTTTGGTATGCTGTTAGTTTTTGTTTTCTGAACGTCAGTTCCAAAGAAGCACCATTACATCGCGCTATTGTTCAGCCGAATCGAACATTCGCAAGGCTGTGTGGAATGGGGACCTGCGTGCAGAGAAGCCTGTTCATAACTGTAGCCTTCACTCTGGTCACTGGTGTTGCTCAAGCCGCGACGAGTCTGTTTCCAAACTAGGCGGGTTGGATACAGAAAAGTGGCAATTGTCCCAGAATCAAATCATCCACCTACCGTTTGTACACTTGGGAGTGTAAACTGGAGCCTTTGGCTATCTACTCTCATTGTAAATAGTGTTTCTTTGTTTTTTCATCATCTCTTCTGAGGCTCTCTCATTGTTAGTCAGTTGAGTCGTTTATATTTGAAGCAATTGAATTGAGTCATTCATTTGTCATTGCTGATGCTTCAGGCACCACATTGGAGAAAGTCATGCTGGCAACTCAACCTGAAGTGCCAGCTCCAGGAAAGTGGACAAAACTGGGATCCGTCCTGACCTTCTTATTGATGGGTGCTCATTGTGGTGGGCTTTTGGAGAAAGCCTACAAAGCATCGATGGAGAGCATGCCCATTCAGACTGCCGTGGACAAATCTGATGATCAAGAACAAGATATAGACCCGGCTTTGAACTCTTCTCTTCACTGGTCTGCTGTGCATGGCAAAAGGGCCCGCAACGGCCTGGCATTAACAGGACTACCAGAAGTCAGATTCCGGGTTTTGGTGTTAGCAGTGCTGCAAGAAGTTACTCGGTTTCTGACCAACTTTCACCTGAACGCGCATGGCCGGCAAAGCCGGGGTTCTACTCAGGCACCACCTCTGCTAGATGTTGTCAATGATGAGTTCAGTCCATACATCATGCTGCTTCAGTTCTTGAGTTCGTTGCTCATCAACCTCTCTGGCAGAGTTCTGCTTGTATGTCCTGGATTCAAACGCGTTTGCAATTGGGAAAGCCACAGACTGGAAGAAGTACGAGTATTTCGCCGTATGATAATGTTATGTTCGGCTTGGATCTACAGGAGACATATCTTGTTCGCAAGGGAGCCACCTTTCTCCACATGTGTGACTCGATAAACAAACTCAAAATGCCAGTAAGTTTTGACCTTGTTGTTTGGTAGGCTTGGATATTTCAACTGCATGTAAATATTGTTGCTGTTCTTCAAACACACCACATTTCTATCAATTCAGATGTCAATTCCTTGAGTAAGAATAGGGTGTTGTGCGACAACAGGCTTCAACAAAGCAGTTACGTTATGTGCAAAAGCAATAATTATACACGAGTTAGCGCCAGCTTTAGGTGATGTTGGATTCACGAGCACCGGCGTATATGAAGAAAAGAGCATGCGACCAATGGGACAGTCTCAATCCATGTTGCGCTCGTCCTGGAATGGCAAGGCATCTACGTCAAACTTCTGTTGACAGTACCGCCCTGCAATCTGCCGATTGGAGACCCGTCTTTGAGGGACTGGCTACTTCTGCCCACATGACAGTGGCTGATTGCGAGCTCCGCCATGCCCGAAATCGTCAACAAGTTGGCTCCAATGGAAGAACTTCATACCCAGTGTTCTGTATCGGCTCAATTCTGGACGAGTCTCAGCTTTTCCAAAAGCAGGCGCTTACTGGGGCACGTGGACGAGCAAGATGTGTGACTTGAAAACATCATTTGGTGGAATTATAATTGTGTTCATTGCGATGGACCATGGACCATATATTTTGTGACAGAGGTCCACAATTTTCAATCTTAGATGTCAGTACAAGTTGCTTGTGGGTGCTCTTCACTAAGACTGAAGAAAGTCCCGATAGCCTCTATTGCCATTGACTCTTGCCTATGGCTACGGGCTATGAGCCAATGAATCAATGAGGCCATGGGCTGTGAGTTAAATGAGGCGGCATAGGCATAGCCTATAGCCAAGGAGCCATAGCCTAGCCCATAGACCATAGACTCATGACTCATAGCCCACCAGCCATAGGAAATAGGCATAGGCGTAGGCCATTAGCCCATAGGGCGAGCGTCATAGTCATGGCCAATAGCCATACCTACTATTCCGTACTGGATACGATAATCCAAACAACTGATAGTGATATTATATTATATCATATATTACTAATATCTATATAACAAACATACTATACAAAATAGTATGCTGTACTGAGGACTGTGATTAGGACCAGGCGCCTTCATCTAAGGCATCTGGTGTGTGTGAGGACGCCAAGAAGCTACCGGACCATGGCAAGCTAACGCCTTTGCATTTGTTCCGCAAAGACTACATGATGCAGCATAAGGCATCCAGATCAAATTGGATGTCACGTGAAGCCTGGGCTGAGATCAAAGATGCTTTTGGGCGCCTTGAGCCAGCCGTTTGCAGAAGATACGACGCCCAGTGTGTTCTCAACAGGGACAAGAGCCAGCATTCACGACAGTTGCGAAGCT